TTTCCCCCCTTTTTCTTGTAGATACATGAGCTGGCAATGAAACTTGCTTCACAGAAATCTCAAAACACTGAGCTCAGGAGCCAATTGGAAGGTACTATTTTATGGGTTTCTTTCAGTTCTTGTTAGCAATTTAAATCATATAATGCCAACTCCATGTCAAAAAATATTATGTACAAGTAGCATTTTTCAATGAGTGTATCTTATTATATAATTTTTCCTATCGTTTTCTGCAGGAATATGCAAGCAAATGGAGAAACTGACGGGTGATGTTGATAGATCAAATGAGTTGGTATATCCCTGCCTCAAACTCTCTCTCTCTCTCTCTCTCTCACACACACACACACACACACACACACACACACACACAGGATGGATCACTTTTCCACTTTAAGGCTGGCTGTGTTTGGTAAACATATAAGCTAGTTTATAGCTCATTTTTTTAGTTTATAAGTTTCTTGTATTCAAATAATTGACGAGCTTTTTAAAGCTCGAGCTTATCTTATAAGCTTCCTTGAGTCACTGAAATTTTTATTTCAGCTAGCTTAGCTTATCGACTAATTTTACCGAACACTTTTATCGAGCCTTTCAGCCATAATTCATCAGCTATAAGCTCGAAATTCACTGAAAAGCTATAAGCTAGCTTATCAATTAGGTTAAATGAAGTGTGTATCTCGAGTCTTGCACTTCTAATTTAATATACAATTTGCAAACCATCCTTATTTTCTCTCGAAAATTTACACCAAGGGGGGATTTTGGCTGGTTTATGATGTAATTCACCTTGTATTTGAACTTCGATTTAGATTGTGTGACAAAATGAGAAAACGATTGAAACTTGTCAGGTGGTTATCTTGCAAGAGAAACTAGAAGCAAAGGAAGACGAAATCCAGAGATTGAAAAACGAGCTTCGAGGGAATGCCATGGGAGAGGAGCAGAATGAGTTGGATACTGATATGAATGCTAATGATGATAATGGACTGAATCCTGTTGAAGTGCAAACTGAAAATTAGTTGTGGGACTGTTTTGCATTTAGAACTTCATTTTCATTTTTCCTTTTATCTTCTTTCTGCTCTCTTTTATTTTCTTCCTTTTTTCTTCTTTGGGGAAAAACTATTTTGTTTAATTGGCAATTTTAGAGTAAAAATGTCTCTGCTACGTTTAATTATTTACACTTTATCGAGGTTCCCGTCTCCTTGTTTTCGTCAAATTTGTTTGCTTCGTAGTTTATTCTGGGATAATAATAATAATAAAAACCAGTCATCAAAATTGGAACATCCACACGGTTAATATGCCAAATAATTTTATATGGCATGAGATAGCATACCATATACAGTGAGTACTCAATAAGTAAAATTGATATTTCAACTATATATTTAGCAGTGTATCGTATAGTTTCGAGCCATATTAGTAGGTTCGAGTTTCGACATATCGAGCTAACAGCACAAGCAAAGTCTTCACCCAAGAAAAAGGAACTTGACATAGTTGTGGAATTGCAGAAAGTGAAATTAGGTAACTAAAATTTCCAATCAATACTATCTATCTCCTTGATGAAAATCTAATACTACTATATTTTCATGTCAGCAGTTTTCTTGTCTACAAGTAACAAGTGAAATTTGAACCTTAACTGCAATCACTTTCTGCAGCCATTAGTGAAGCCTAAACCGGCAGTTCCTTTGTTTCCAGTCGCCTGTAGAGGTTCAATCAAACCCTTCATGCTCGAGCCAAGAGCCTCCCCCTTGTATTAAAAAAAAAAAAAAAAAAAACGTTTATAAAATCATACGGAAAATATACCGACCAACAAAATCTAGTTTTGACCTGACTTTGTATGAACACATCCAATACCTTCATTCCTAGTACCATGTTTGGCCACCCACAAGGATCCACAAATGGGTAAATAAAGGAAAAGATTGTATAACAGATTCTAACACTATTACAACAAAATGATGAAATTCCAATACAAGTACTTCCGTTGGAATTTTCCAATGGATTAGAACGAAAATATTTTGTTGGAATAAGTTAATCAGTGGAATTCCTGTTGTATTTTGCGATTCCCACGACATATATTCCAACGGTTTAAATGTGTTGAAACAAAATTTTCAAGAAAAATTGCATATTCCGACAAAAATTCCTACGGTAATAAACCATTGGAAAAATAATCGTTAGAATCATCAAATTCCAACTAAAATACCAATAGAAATCACATTCCAACAGAATATTTTTGTTAGAATTTCCGTTAAAATGATTCCAACAAAAGCTATACATTGTAATATCCGTTGGAATTTTCATTGAAATATATTTACCATTGGATTTTCCATTGGAATATGACATTTTTTTTCCAATAGTGTAATTACGAAACCTTGTGCGAACACCTCAAGACGATGCCTTTTTCTTTTCCTTTCCTCTTAGTAGTAACAGGGGGTTTAGTACTTTAGTTGGGTCCTTTCAAGTATGTATTTTTTTGTAACTAATAACCGTAAGGAATCGTGATTTTTTCAAGGAGAAACACACACACACACACACACACACAAAATCTCCAAACTGGCAATGAATTCTTAAAAATGTGTTGTTCATCTTGAAAATGTATACCTCCTTCCATCCCATGCCTTCTAGAATCTTCCTGGCGTAACTTCCTGTCCCGAATGAGAAATTCAATGCCTCAGCTTCCGCCACATCACGTTGTGAAGCAGAATATGACGGGACAGAATCTGAAGCTTCGGTTGAGTTCTTCTGTCCAGGGCCCACGCCAAATCCACCGTGCAGAGCTCTTCTCTCGGCAGCTCTATCTCGATATATATGATCCTGAATATGAAATAATAAAAATAATAAGACCATTGAGTTCAGACAGGTTACAATTATTTTATCCCAACATGTAATTCATTAATTTTCAGGGAAAAAATATCAACTCATTTTCCTAGTTTTTTTTTTTTTTTTTGCC